ACCCTAACCCTAACCCTAACCCTAACCCTAACCCTAACCCTAACCCTAACCCTAACCCTAACCCTAACCCTAACCCTAACCCTAACCCTAACCCTAACCCTAACCCTAGGTCAGACCCTAGGTCAGAAATCATTGATATCTTGAAACACGTTTAATAGACATGAGGATCAATACATCATGACTCGAGAATGAAAAGAGAAGTACTAACCAGTGACTCATCTACGTTCGCACTTCCCAAGACAAGTAACCCTCCAGGGGAAGAACTCTCTAGGTTGTGAGCATTTCGTCCACGAACCGTTGGAAGAAGTTGAGCAAATAAGTAGCTCAATACCATTCGAAGACGAGCTTGAATATTTTGCAGGGCGAGATTAGAAGCATTGGTACCCCCATACACTTTGTACTTTGGAACATAGGAGGTTACCGAGGAGAATAGCGACACTATTGCTTTGTATGGGCCGTCGATGTTTAAATCAAGGTGATACGAGCCGATCTCTGTGGCAAGATTCTTTGATCGCGAGCGAGTCTCAGGGGAGCTGTTCTCCTGCATGCCCTATAAGAAGATTAGTGAGCGACTATCTACTCAATCTGGAAATGTCAGAGTTTCTTGATATGTTTCGGGAGGAAAAACATATCTTAAAACCCATAAGGACGTCTAAAATAGTAAAAGTAATTGTTCCTAGAGCACTTACTAGATAGGCGGTATGAAACAGTCGAGACGCAATCTCCTGCGAAGATTTTGGCACCCAAGAACTCGTCGACGGTTCGCCTACGATGTTCAATAGATCTTTTAGCACCTGAGGACTAGAAGGTGATAATGTCAGTATTATTAGGCCAAAAAGGAGTAGGTTCAAACATGATCACTAAATCGCGAAGCTTTGTTTCAGTGGTAACAACTTCACCGTTTAGAAATCGCACTAAGGAGTAGAAGATTTTTACGAACTTTTTACCCTTTGCAATGTCGCCATAGACAAGTCGACACATAGAGTGGACGATAACGGCGGTAGCACAAGAATCGATGCCTAGAAGCTTTTAGTAAGCATGCTCTGATTTGGGATCAACCAGAGGTGTAGAAAGTTTCCCGTGGGTATAAAAAGCGGTTTTATCCCGCAAGACATTTTCAAAGAAGCATTACGACATCTCCAAAGCTGAAGAACGTGTGAAAAAAGAGACAGTTTCCAGAAAATGGGATATACCTCCAGAAAGTGGGAGAAAGAAGCCCGCCTGTAGTAGAGGGATCAGTGGAAGCTCAGCAAAGATAGGAGCAAATATTATCTGTATATCAGGATGGACATGCCTGTTTGCACCTCCTTAAATAATCCCATAGCCAACACGCCGGCCCTAGACTGATTTCTTCTTCAGGGGTATGAAATCGCACGTCGCGGGGAGGTGAGGGCTGAACGAGTAAATCCACATCCTCTGGATCGCTCGACAGACTCATTTCAACTTCAACTCTCTCGTACGAAGGCTGTTTCGTGGCTTGGAGAGCTCTAGATTTGCTTGATCTATAAGATCTTACATCTTCGAGATCGACAGTTGCTGTGGAAGTTATTAATTTAGCATTGAAAGGATAACATATCTTAGGAGCAAATCATGTATTACAGTTCCAAGGACTGCCTAGGGAAGAACAATTCACAGTCAAAAATACGTACCTGTAACGACTTCAACATCGCTTAAGGAGAATTGGCAACCTTGACCAACTACGGCGCCATTGATAATGATCATAGCGGAGCCGTCATAGAACAATCCTGGATTCTTCAGTTAGAGTCATTGAATTTTGTGTAAACAGGAGTATCAGACGTGTCCTAGGAGATACAAAACATGTCTTTTAGAAGTGAATCACTAGACCTTTACTCGGCTGCAAATGTCCTCATTTCCCGGTCTCACTTCCCACCTTTAGTAAAAGATATGTCTTGCAGATCCTAGAACTGCCCCTAAACGATTCGCGAATTGAAAATATTTGCCCAGAAAATGTACTTACTATCACCGTCACAGCCCTTTTGATTGGCGTACAAATAGATCCCTCCCGCCTTCAAAGTTGCCTCCCGGATGAGGTCGAGTCTGGTATTCAACTTCCTAAGCTCGTGATGGGATCCAGAGCTATTAGATATAATCTCGCAACCGTCTAAACCAGCTCCAATATGAGGCGCTTTAGGTGTAAAAAGCTCCTCACAAGTCTCAGTACCCACGCATGAGTCTCTTGTGCTAATAAGAGCATCTCCAATACGTGTCTTCTTCTGGCCTACAATCTTTTGGATGCTCCTCGGTAGATAGAAGTCTTCGACGATCCGCTCCCCCTTCCAAGGACTAAAGTAACGCAATTCACGATAGCTGTAGAACAGTTAGCTATTGCTGGATATTCAGTTTGGCAATTACCCACTTTCCATCGTTAGCAAGCTATACAAGAGGACAATCAGTTAGCTTATTGGAAAATTCTATATTAGATGAGTTTACGTACACTTAGCTTAGGTCGGATCAGTAGGATCTCTTTGTTGTAGCTGATGATTCTGCAGTTGTATCGAACTAAGATTTTCTAGTTAGCATTACCTAGGTTAAAAGGGAAATTAAATATTAAGACGAGGATGCAGACTACAAAACATGCCTCAAAACTTCCAAACGTCATATAAGAGGGAATAGCTAGCCTTAATATATACGTACCATTTCGATGGGATACAGGCATGCCAATATCGAGCAAGATGTCCGAAGAAACCGGGTCTTGGAGGATCTCAGCCAGCGATTCCCAGCTATGCAGATAGAGATCACTCTCGAGGAAGTGGTCCAAACACCCGTAACCAGTAATTTCCAATTCTGGACCGATACGTAGTCTGTATAAGCGTGAGCATGAACTTTGAAGAGGTAGAGACTTGGGTATGCACGCAGGGAGGCTTTAGTGGTTGAATGTGCAATTGAAACAGGGCCTAAACTTCCACTAACCGCTGAGTCTTTGAGACAAGCTCGGAAGGTGAAGAGCGGAAGAAAAACTAGGTGCATCACGTTCAGGAAACTTACGATGATCCACGGTCTTTAGCAATTCTAATACTCTCTAGAATTCTCCTTTGGTTGCCTCGCGAAGGTTAGCCTTCGCTTCGTTCAACTATAGGGAGTCTCACCCTCGAAGTCCAAGCTCCACTAATAGGTCTCGCAGTTAGAAATCATGATCTCAAAAGAAAACAGCAGCTATGATTAACACGTGGTTCGTGAGCAAAATGATTTCCCCGACTCCCGGAACCGTTTGCAGCGTTGCCTTGCGTGAGATCAGTAGGAAAGCCTTCTCGGATACACACCTGATTCAAGCTACAGGTCGACAATACTACAAGATCTAAAATGAAGAATTCGAAATTAGCATAGAGCTATAATAAAGACTTCGGAAATAACATACGACCCATGTTCGTGTGAGGAGTTGCCGAAGTCAAAAGCTCAATAAAGTATTACTTGTGGTTGGAATGACTAGCAATTCTATTGTTGTAGGATAAGTGATGAGGTGCTGGTAGAGCAGGACAGCGATATTGAGTGTATGTCGGAGAGGGGATGACGACAGAAACATTTCAAAGTGGGTCATTCGAATTGTCATGACGTGTTTGATCTTCTAATGGCTTCTGAGGGTTTATAAATTGACTACTCTACTTGTAAATCAGTTAGTTAATATAAATTGTAAAAGATGCGCCTCGCGGTAAAGCGAAGCCAGCTCAGAGATGAGGTGGAATCTGTTATCCGACTGATGAAAATCGGAGGTCTTGGACGGTTCGTACAGTAATTGATGGTATTGCTTACCTACCGAGTCAAGAATCAAGAGGTTTAATTCTTGCTTGTGTTGTTATTATTAGTTCGTCTAAGGCAAGGAGAAGGAAGAGAGCGTCCGATTCTCTACCAAGTCAATTACTGTATAAAATGCAGGTATATGTTAGCCTCTCTAAGCTTCCGATATACTAGCAAGAGCCAATGGCCATTCAGGATAACAAGAATTCGGTGGGCCAATGGGCAAGGTTAACATATAAACCGGCCAGGGGGTGGGAGGAGGGATAGTAGTTTGTGGAGATGTGCGTTGACGGATGTGGTAAGGTTAATCTGAGGTAAGGTACCTTACCTGGGTATTGTATGAGAGTTTATCACGTGGTACTTACCTTAGGTAAGGTAAGGTAAGGCACCTTAGCATTGGTAAACTATTCCCTGGCCACCAAATAAGCTAGGAGCATCAACACTCTTGGCATACGGATTCGTCTCACATAAAGCCAGTAACTAGAAGGGTTGTCTTTGTACCAACTACCAGTCTAGCAGAACAACTGACGAGCACAGCATTCTTCCTGCGAAGGACCTTTCAAGGTCTCCCAGAAGCAGTTGAAAGGCTCACTATAAGCCCCATGCTAGATGGAGTCAATTAGACCGAACTCGGCATCCGTGGTGACTTCGTGGAGTCTAGAGTGTATGGTGAAATAAGAGATTGAACTGTCACTCGATTCAAGATCGCTCGCAGGCAGGTGGGAAGTGATGACCAATGAATACTAAATACAGTCAGCTGGGTTTTCATTTTGCATACAGTTGGTTAAGGAAGGTCAAGTTTCTGACCCGGGACGCTGAGAGTAAGAAACGCTACCATACCAATCTTACCAGTGACTGGAGTGCAAGCCACCCACAACTGGTAAGATGATTGGGAGTTCCATAATGCGTTCACTGGCCTGGCAGAGTTAAACAGGGATTCGCAGATTTAGTTTCTGTGCTGCTACAGGAGTGGAGGATGAGGCAGCAGAGGCAGAATCAAAAAGGATGATATGAGACTTGTTACCCTTCTAGAGAATGTAAGCAGATGTCCACCAAATCAGTGGGTAAAAGGGCTTTGTTTGTCAGCCAGAGCAAGCGGCAGTCAGGTCCCTCATAGGTAAGGTAGCATCAAACAAACAGGTACAGATTTCATAAGTAGTGCGAGAAAGCCAAGTCACGGGCATCAAGACAATTGTTATCGAGGCATTGAAACTCGCAACGCGCTCAGCATAAGACTTTTGCCAGTAGCTCTATTACTTGAATATAAAAGACCATCTTGACCACCAGGGTTTTTATTTCGTAGAGGGGCAAAGGATAAAATACGCCTCACTGCTAGCATGTATAGAACAAGAGCGGGGGAGCGAGAGTGAGAAGAAAGCAAGAAAGTAGCTCCAAAGCCCACACCAATCACAATCTAAAATCATACAACTTCCTAGGATTTGAGCTTCACGATATATACGGCTGAGCATACTGGAGTACGAATTATCTCTTCCAGGTGGCGTTGTAGCACTCCTAGCTACTGCTTGCAGCTCGCAAACTCACCACCGCAAATAAAAGGAGTTTTTACGAAACATGCGGCTTTTTCAGCCAAGGTACTTAGGGTTCAAATACGAAGGAGTTTCTTACGGGGCCAGACCCTTCAAATAAAAAAATCCCCCATTTCATTTCGAAAGCAAATATTGATTCCCAAAAGCAGGATGTGGGAGAGCTGAAAGTAGGGCAACAACATCGTTTGGATGCTTTGGAGTGTCCCCTTTAGAGCACTCACTACAGCTCCGTTCTTGTTTCTACTTGAAGTCCCGTCAACATTGCCACTCTGGCCTTCCAAAGGACAAAGAATCATAGGGAGAGATTTCCAATCAGACACTCGCCTCAAGTCATGGCTTTAACGCCCAAACGCCCTGGAATATCCACTGGGCAACCAGGAAGCCATTTGGTTATAGCTAAATGGAGAATGGCAGGAAATGGAATGTAAATCACGGCGACTGTACTTCAGACGCCATTCATGCACAATTATCATTTCTATTTTGTGAACGGATGCCGATCCCATGCCATCCGTCCATATGAAGGGTATCATCCATGCCAACGCCTCGGGTATGTCCTCACCCTTCCCGTTATGTTCGCAATCGTACCGCTGCTCGTAGCACACGTGGAATGTTATTTCCCAATGCTAGCCCTCTCATTGCAGACCCGAACGCCCTACCCAAATGCCCAGTACGATCCCAATGTTGCAATCAAGCCTCGACCCTCACCACAGAGCCCGCGGTCGCATTATCCGTCCATTCGAATTCTAGCCCAATGTCAGCATTGCTCTTCCTCGGGACTTTGAGAGTACCTACTCTGCCTGCACATAGGGCATTGTCCCTTTGAAGAATCCTGCTTGATCCACTCCACGATACAATGCTATGTACCTCTCAGCCTATTTTCCACCATCAATCACTATTCCACTCACCATATGGAAATTGTGTCCGCATTTCCCGGAGACTATTGTAATTCCAGTTAGAGAACAGTATATCGGCACGGAGAAGACGTAGGAAAACGTACGCAAGCTGCAGTCATCCCCTGGGTATTTGCACGTAGGGCATGTCCCGTCGAAATGCACCTGGCAGATTCCGCAGACATCGTCGTCGGGTATGTCCCATCTCCACGTCGCTACCGCGTTCCACCTTTGAATTTTGACTCTCATAACGGCGTTGGAATTATGGAAAACGAAGAGCTGTAGAAGCTATGGGCTCGTGGGTGCGAAGACTGGGAATGATGGGTGTTTACGAGAGTATAGGTACTTTTGGCGTTGGCGGCATGCGGCTGACTTCCATTTCCACGTGCTCACGTGAGAAGCTTAGCTTTATCAGCACGGGCCAAGGGTAGCTACCTTAACCTTACTAGATATCTATGACCTACCTATCCACCTCCTCCCACGTTCTCCCACCTCCTCACATGAAAATACACCAGACTCTTCTTCCCGACGAAAACAGCTCAAGTTATTTGTTTCTTCTAGGTCTTTGATATCCCGACCATTTTCAACGCTCTGCGAATAACCTCTTCACTCCTTGAAGCACCCCTTCTCATGCTTGCGTGATATCGCTCTGGTTGCACGCCATGGCGGCGGCTTCTTCTCTCCTCTCACGCTCGACCCTCTCCATCGCCCGCCGATCAACCACATCCTCCAGATGCCAATTCACAATGGCTACTCAACGTGGTCTCTCTTCCTACCTGGTAACGCCTAAAGAGCTCTCCGAAGCTCTCCAGAAAAACTCCCCATCGAAAATATCAACTGCACCCAAAACTGTCCCGCTCTGCGCGTCCTGGTTTCTACCCACCTCCCCCCTCAATGGCCTACAGACCTTTCGAGAAAAGCGCATCCCTGGCTCCCGCTTCTTCGACCTGGATAAAGTCAGCGACAAACGCTCTCCCTATCCGCACATGCTTCCGTCCGCTTCCGATTTCGCCAAGGCAATGAGTTCGCTGGGCATTCGGAGGGATGACACCGTGGTTGTTTATGACTCTCACGAGACAGGAATCTTCTCAGCGCCAAGAGTGGGATGGACGCTGAAGGCATTCGGTCACGACACTGTGCACGTGCTGAATAATTTCAAGTTATGGGTAGAAGAAGGATATCCTACTGAGAGCGGAGAGTTCTGGGACGTGGACACATGCGTTTACCCCATACCCGAGTTTGATTCCAACAAGCTTATTGAGTTTGAGGAGTTGAGGGAAGTCATCAAGGATTATAATAAAGAGGGTGCCGAGGGGGTGCAGATACTGGATGCAAGGCCCGAGGGGCGGTGGAGTGGCGCGGATCCAGAACCGAGACCTGGACTGGAGAGTGGACATATGCCAGGGAGTATTTCGGTGCCGATTTCTGAATTGTTGGATCCAACGACGAAGACGATCCTGCCGGGTGACAAGTTGAGGGAAATATTCGAGAAGAAGGGTGTGGATCCTAACAGGCCAATTGTTACTAGTTGTGGAACTGGGGTCACAGCTGCAGTTATCGATGCGGCACTGAGCGAGGCAGGGTATGGCGATGAGGGAAAAAGAAGACTATATGATGGAAGTTGGACGTGAGTTTCTTTTCTGCTCTTGGAAAACATGGACGCTGACTTTGGACAGGGAATGGGCACAACGCGTGAAACCTTCAGATGGATTAATAGTCAAGGAGGCGTGATTAGAGATGCTTTATACTCGATGGATTTGATCGGTTGCCTTTACTAGTGAATACCCCAGCCCTCTCTTTAAAACTCCGTGCTTAGCAAATGATGAACTGTTCAAGGGCGCTCCTAAACTTCTAAACTATATCATAAACCTCGTGCACACCACATCACTTGTTGCTCTTGAATAGGAAACCCTGGCTAACAGTATTGGAAAGGTAAGTCTCAATCCTCTCTTTTCATCTCATACAACCGCTATGCCAGCGCCATGTCCGGGCATAGAGCCTTTCAGCATTTATATAACTCAGGTATGATACATGGGAATAAGGTCAGGTAAAGGGTGTAGAGATCAAGGTTACTATAGAAATTCTGAATAGTTGCTTGAAACGTACATTGAGCTGGGGCTGAGAGACCAGCAACATGCCACGGAAGACACTTTGATATTAGGCACTATCTAATATACCTTACCCTCTCTTTATCATCACAGTGATTCATCAGCATTCGGGGAGCCATATAGTCCTAGATGCAATCAATATTAAGTATAAAGGGGGGGGGACGATAATTAGGTAAGCGGGATGTGGTAGGAACGCCAAGATTGTGTGGGCACGGACCACATTCTAATCGCGATTATCCGCAAAACTTCGAGAACTTTTTTTCTTGTATCTAGACCCTCGGATTGACGGTCGTTCCTCAAACACCATGGATATCCACCGCTGTCGATTCGTGCCTTACCCGCCATCTACAATTAATGTGCTAGCGTTCTCTCACTCCCACATTTCCAAGGATCAGAAAACGGCTCCTCCGAGACTCGCTGTAGGACGAGCGAACGGCGACATCGAAATCTGGAACCCGCAAAACGGATCATGGTTTCAAGAGACGATCATTCGAGGGGGACAGGATCGCAGCATTGATGGCCTTGTTTGGACACAGGATCCAACGGAGCAAGATGCACACGGCAGAACGATCATTGGGAAATCACGACTTTTCAGCATTGGATACACGACAACTGTCACAGAGTGGGATTTGGAGAATGGCCGGCCATTACGGCAAGCAAGTGGCAATCATGGAGATATATGGTGCCTAGCCGCACAGCCATTGCTTTCACACTCCCAGAAGGAGCTAAACGGCACATCAACTGGACACTGGGAGGGGCAGAGTCTCATAGCTGGTTGCACGGATGGCGCTCTCGTGTTATACTCGACAAAAGACGAAGACCTCCAATTGCAACGGATACTTGTTAGACCTTCTGCGAAGAAGGCTAAGATCATCAGTGTCACTTTCCAAGATCGCAATGTTGTCATTGCCGGCTGCACAGATAGCACAATTCGTGTATACGACATACGCAACGGCTCAAATTTGAGGACCATGTCACTCGGCGCTGGGTCAAAGGGAGGACCAAAAGAGATTATAGTATGGTCTGTCAAAGTTTTGCAGAATGGGAATATTGTCTCTGGTGACTCGACTGGTGAGCTGCGGATCTGGGATGGCAAGACATACACTTTGATGCAACGGGTAAAGGGCCACAAGCAAGATATTTTGAGTCTCGCGACAAGCTTTGACGGCTCCACGATTGTAAGCGGTGGTATGGATAGACGAACGGTGGTGTACAAGCGGGTTGGAAAAGGAAAAGGTCGATGGGCAGAAGTCGGGCACCGACGGTATCACAGCCATGATGTCAAAACAATGGCAAGTCTGGAGTACAAGGGAATGAGTGTTGTGGTATCTGGAGGTAAGGAGAACATCCTGTTTGGAGATCAACACTGACATTCACAGGTCCCGATGCCTCACCGACTGTCTTGCCCCTTCGCCAGTTCGGAATGGAGAACCAACGAGAGCTACCCTTTTTCCCCCAAGAGCCTCCCCTTCGAAGTGCACCGTCAAAACGACTCGTTATGTGTTTTTGGGATCGCGAGATCCATGTTTGGCGTCTGAATAAACCAGGACTCGAGTCAGATCAGAACCGGAAATTGGTTGCTAAAATCCTGATCAAAGGGGAAGCAAATATCACATCTGCAGCTTTGAGCGCTGATGGTAGTTTGATTGCTGCTTCAACAACAACGGATATCAAATTGTTTCAGCTCAAGTCACGGAATGCCGAAGAGGGCGATGCTCTTAGGGTTACAAAGGTCATGGTTCCAAGCAGCTTTTCCTCCGGAGCAAGGCTTGTTCAATTCTCACCAGACGCAAAGTGGCTTTGTATAATCCGCCCCGATTCTCGAATCGTGGTTGTACGTCTCATTAACTCCACGTCATCAGCCACAATCCATCCCCAATTCTCCAGACTCTCGCGAATAAACCGCCAGGTCGAGAAGCATGTCTTGCTAGGCGGTCTTGGATCTTACGATAGAACTATCACTCAAGCTGCCTTTTCGTCTGAAGGTAGAATCCTAGCGGTGAGCGACTTGGCAGGTCACATTGACACATTTGTCCTCTCTGGACAGGAAGATCTTAGTCAAGCGCCACCTGCTCTCGTTGATGAGGCCTCTTCATCCTCAGATTCTTCTGATGGTGAGGATTCTGGTTCAGAGGATGAAGGAGCTAAAACACAATTAATATTTGGCCAGCAGTGGAAACACAACCCCACGGCCTCTTTGCTTCCCAAACTCCACTCTGCACCAACGATCCTCTCGTTCCGACCCTCCACAGCACAGTTGACTAATGGTTTGACGAAAAGTCCTATCGCTACTCGGCACAATCCAAATCCCGTCTCTCACGAGTTTCAAACTGGTGAGGACAGATTACTTGTCGTTACAGCCACAAATGAGATTTTCGAATTCGAAGTCCTGAAGGGGGGCTTAAGTCCCTGGTCGCGCGTCAACCCAATCACGAGTTTCCCAGAAGAATTCCGGAAAATTCGTGATCTAGCACGAGGCTGTATTTGGGATGTCAGCGGGGCGAAAGAGAGAGTGTGGCTCTATGGCGCCGGCTGGTTATGGATGTTTGATCTCTCGCGAGACTTCCCCCAAACGATGGACACGAATGTAGAGATGAATGGGACCGTTAGTGGGAAAAAGAGGAAGAGAAATCACGGAAGAGAGAACACTTCAGGTGCAGGCTCCACTATTCCGGATAGGGAGCTTGGGACAGGTATTTCGAGGAAGATGCAGAGAATCATTCATGAAGAGGTCGATGAGATGGAGGATATTCCTTTCCACGATAAAGATGCTATGCATGTCGATTCAGATGCTGATGAAGATCAGAGTTCGACGTTGGAGCGATTACGGCGTGGAAATGAAGCGGAAGTGGCCAGGAAAGGAGTGGAGGACAGCAGTACAGGGCGACAGTGGTGGCGCACATTCAAATACAGGCCAATCCTCGGGATTTGCGTTGTTGGTGAGCAAGGCGGTAGTAATACAGGACCGGAAGTAGCTCTTGTTGAGAGGCCGATCTGGGAGGCTGATTTGGGACCCAGGTATTTTGGGGACCAAGAGTGGGAGAAAGGTAGTTTGTAAGAGAGGTACTGCAGTATGTTGCATTGGCACGGCGTTTTGAAGTCTCGAGTATGGGAAAAGTGCATGGAGATCTTGAGAGCGTATTTATCTATTCCATGAGTGGTTGATACCAACATCCTCTTCTCCAACTGGTTGCAAGTTGTACCTCTGTGAATGCTTCGTCGATCCTCTCTTATATGGCTACACTGTACCAAGGCGGTGCAACAGTGGTGCTTGATCACCCGTCTGATCTGCCTTTTCGTCGAGTTTCATATCCGCACGCAGAGAAGATTGCCCTCGTTATTTGGCTCTCAGCCCAGGCTATAGTTGGGCAGGTCTTTTCAGAAGTACCAGATGCACGACCAACGAAGTCTTGGGCGCTCAGTCATCACTTGTGTATCCATGGTCGGACGAAGCAATCTGATGCTCATCGGGTCATGATACGCCCCCCCCCCCTCCCCCCCTCCGGCAGAACAGAGTTTTCTGCCAGTACCTACCTAAATATTAGTATTACCTACAGTATAACACTAGGTATATTTTTAACGCTTTATTATACGTAAATAACAGCGCGCATATCACCTTAAGAGAGCCATATAAGGTAGAGAGCCATATAACAGTTTAAATAACAGTCTAAATCGTACGTTAAAAGTGAGTTATATACCTACCTTAAAGGCGAAGGCTTAGGCATTTAGATAGTCCTGTGGCCATTAGGTAATGATTATTAATATAAGAACAATACTATAATTTATAACTGTTATAGTACTATAACCGGATAATCATTTATTTAGATAATTATTTATTATTATTATTTTAGTGTTAAGGTAGCCTTTTTATCTAAGCTTATAGTCTATCTATACTCTTAGAAAGTAGGCCTCTTAAACTAAAAGTATAACCTAGTTATTAAAGTAGATAAGTATTATTAGTATAGTATAAGTATAAGTAAGGTAAAAAAGCTTAGTCTTTTTAAAGGTAAACTCTATTCTTCTTATATATAACTACTAGCTATATGTCTACTATACCTTTTTAAGGTACTAGTATATCTTTATTATATTATTACTAAAGGCTAGAAGGTTAAGGTTATTTATAAACCTTACTATAGTAAGGCTTATATATCTTTATAGCTATGTATATAAGCTAGTAGTATAAAGGTAGTAAATAAATTAGAGTTAGAATATACTAGATAGTGTCTTAAAAGCTATTTATAAGCTACTTAAGATACTCTAGATTAGAGTTTATTTAATATACTACTTAAGAGTATAAAAAAGAAAATCTGTTATAAGAAACCACTAACCTACTACGTAATAAGGCTAGTGGTTTCTTATAACACACCCTTAAATCTACGCCTGTTATGTCTTATCTACTAAAATCTAGCCTAAATTCTATACTACTTGTTATTCTACTAAGTAAGTTACTAAAAGAGGAAATAGAAATAGTAGACTAGTAAGATTTTACTACTACTGTTACTAAAAAAGAAAATAAAAATAGTAAACTAGTAAGTTTTTTACTGTCTTATTACTATAAAGGGAAATAAAAACAAGGAATTGTCTTAATTAAGTAATTAGAATAGCTATAGTATATAGATTTAATAGCTTTAAGAACTTAGTGTATTTAGGTTCTTTTAGAGCTTTAGTAAGCCTATTAGCTACTATCTCTTTTGTACGCTTAAACTATACCTTTATTTTACTTAGCGTAACTTACTCTTAAATATAGTAGTACTATATGTTAATGTATTTAGTTCTCTAGTAGATAACTAGGTTATCTATTAAGGCTAGAGATCTTTAATTATTACTATATATCTAAATCGTCTTAACGTCTTTAGAGTTAACGCCTAATTTATAGAATAGCTGTTTTAGCTAGGCAGCCTTTCTTATAGCGTTAGATAATACATAATACTTTGTTTTAGTTAATAATAGTACTACTACTTATAGACGCTTTAATCTAAAAGATATAGTACTCTTGTAGAAGTTAAACAAGTATCTAATAGTTAATCTACAAGTCTTAACATAGCTAGCGTAGTCTAAATTACTATATCTATATAACCTTTTTAACTACTTAGCGGGCCTTATAACAGATTACTAAACTATTAACGCTAGTTTTCTTCTTAAACACTTACTTACTACCTAGAACCTTAATCCTTTTTTAAAGGCTTAATCTCTTAACTAGACTTTATATATCGTTCTTTATAAGTAAGTTAAGTTTACTTTAAATAGTCTCTTTTTATTACTTAGACTTAGTACTACTAACTACCTCTTTATATATAATTAAGACGTTTTCTAGATCGTCTTTAACTATAGTCTAGTAAGTAGTATAGAACGCTATAGCTATAGCTAAATAAGCTAATTACTATACTTCTTATTTAGTATTATCTTTTATATCTCTTTCTTTAGTTATATAACGTAATTAGGATTAAGTTACTTAAGTAGATTTAAGGTTAATAAAACATATAAAGTCTTAAGCTTAAGCTAGAGCTTAAGCTACTGTCTTTAGCTTATTCTTTAAACTTTTTAAGCGCCTTTAGCTATACTTAATAGCTACTAAATTAAGTAATATAGTAGTTAACTAATCTTAGATCTGTTTTATAGTAAAGTTAGTATTAGCTAGTAGATTAATATTAGTAGTAGTAAAAGGCGGTTTCTTAGCTATTTTAGCTACTTTAGCTAGGTCTTAATGTTTAACTAGCTCTTAATCTTTAACCTTATCTACGTTCTTAGCGCTTGTTAAGTCTATAAGTAGATTAGTTAGTAAGTACGGCTTAGCTAATAGTAAACTACTGTCTAACACTTTTAATATAAAGCCTTTTTTATTAAATCTTACGTTTAAAGATCTAACGATTTTATAAGCTCTTAAGGGTATATAGTAGTAGTAAATATAGTAGCCTTTAAAACTAAAAAAGATCCCTTTTTTAGTATACTTAGTAAACTTTTTTAACTTAACCTATCTTTACTTTAGAATATAAATATATACCTTATAGCTAAGTACTTATAAGTAGGCTATAGACAGCTTGTTGTCTTAATTTAGGTATAACTAGTCTATAAAGGCTTAATATAAGGTTTTGTCCTTAATAACTAATATAGCTATTTTATTAATAATATAGATTATCTCTTTTAGTAACTCTAGCTATAGCTCTTTAAGAACGTTCTAGTTAATTATAGTAGATTATAGCTGTCTAACTATAATCTTGTTTATATAGATCTATACTAGTAAAGTTAGACTCTAGGCTTTTTTTTTTAAACGTAAAGTACTAGAGATAGTAACCCTCTAGTACTCTTATAGTAAGGCCCTAAAGATAGTAGCTTACTTAGTCCTTAACTACTAGTAGCTTAATTAATAATAGTACGCCTTATAGTAAGTACTTTACCTAAGGGTACTATAAACGTTCTACGACTTTATAGTAGTAATAAAGAGAGGTAAGAGTATACGTATACTAATCTATTAGCTACTATCTACTAGACAGTTCTTATAGTTCTATCTAGCTAAGCGCTACTTAGTAAAAGAGTTAAAAAGAGAGTAGCCCTAGCTAGTAGCTAGTACTTTACTAGTACCTTACTAGCGTCTTACTAGTATGTTTAGTATTACTAGGCTAGAAGGTTAAGTTCTAGTAAGGTAGTAATAAGGCCTTAGCGCCTTAGTAGCGCTATAATAAAGTATTTATAAAAGATAGTACATAGGTTTTTACTTAGCTTTAGTATAGTTTTACTATATAATTTATATAGTATAAAGGTTCTATATGTATTAGACATAAGTAGTAAGAATAATAATAATAATAATAATAATAATAATATAGTAGTATTACGTTAACTAGTGTCTATAAGGTAAAAAGGATTTAAGTTAAAGAGACTATACTATATACTCTTAAGTAACTAAGTATATCTAAGATTATTAAAAGAAAGCTCTTATACTTATAAAAAAGTAAGTACTTCTTAAGGGCGTCTACTAAAAAGACAAGTAGTATAGCTAAGGTAGTGCCTTACTAGTACACTAGTAAGCTATTATATTAGGACTATTATACCTTCTAGTTCTCTTATAAGGGCTACCTTAACGCTATTAAACAAAAGTTTACTACCTAGTAGTTTACGCTTACTAGGCTTACTATATTAGTATAGAGATATAGCTTACTATATATAAGGAAGATCTATACAAAAGTAATCTAGAGTACTATAGTATATAGTATAAGGGTCTAGTACTACCTCTTTAGATAACAAGTAAAGAAGATTATAAAAGACTTCTTTATAAAGTAGTTATAGTACTTTTACGTTATTATAAGGGCGTACTAGGTAACGCTTATCTAGTTCTTTAAGTCTAAAATAGCTATACTCTTACTTAACCTTTACCTTAATAAGTAAGTAGTAGACTTTAAGTATTATCTTAAACGTATAAGTAAAAGTAAACTTATATAGTCTGTCTATAATAAGGTTACGACCTGTCTTTAATAATACTAGAGATAACACTATAGTACTACTATAGTACTACCTTATATATTACTTAAGTATAAGGTAAGCTAAGCTATATAGATAAAGGACTAGTATAAGGACTCTTCTCTAAAAGAGACTTTTTATCTAAGCTTCTAATTTATCTATACTTTAAGAAAGTAGGCCTCTTAGACTAAAGGTATAACCTGGCTGTTAAGGTAGACTAGTATTATTAGTATAGTATAAGTATAAGTAAGGTAAAAGAGCTTACTCTTTTTAAGGACAAACTTTATCTCTCTTATACACGACTACTAGCTATATGTCTACTACGCTTCTTTAAGGTACTAGTGTGTCTCTACTATATTCTTTCTAAATACTAGAAGGTTAAGGTCGTTAGTAAACCCTACTATAATAAGGCCTATATGTCTCTATAGTAGTGTATATAAGCTAGTAGTATAAAGAAAAAAGAAGATAAAAGAAAAGGGCAAACCTTATAGTACCCTTATAGTAACCTCTTAAGGTAGCGCTACCTCTTTATTAAAGAAGAGGCTAGCTGTCTAGTTAGCTAGAAAGCTCTGTACTTACTATATAACTTATATAAAGAACCTTATA